GAGATTTGGATAGAGCCTGATGTCTGCAGTGTTTAAGAGCCCACGCACACAGTAACCACACGTGGTGGGTATTTATTGACTGCACCGGGAATGGATTGAATAGACAGTGCCAGATCGCAGTGAAGTGATTCTGCGCTGAATGGGTTGAGCCCATCACTAGGCCCTAGGGTCCCTGTTCGTAGAGAAGCTTAATAGAAATCTGGGGTCAGCTTTGGGCATGATGGCTTGCTGGCAGGGTCCCTCAGGCTTGCTGCTGGTCCCTTTCCTGAGTGTGTCCGCCACGTGAGGGGGACTTTGCAGAAGGACCCCCTGGGCTTTACAAGCTCAACAAAGAGAACCTCCAGCCACTTCCATTGTGAATTTAAAGTATCTTGAATCAGATGCAAAAGCCATTCTTTTCCATTAAATAAAAAAAAAAAAGAGGTGGGTCTAGGATGCTTAAACGCTTTGGCCCATCAGCTGGGAATTGGTGACTGAGATGCCCAGGGGATTCCTAAGAGACACGTCTTTCCCACAGCGTGTATGGCCTTGCTAACAGGTTGCAGGTGTGACGCGCTGAGGAGTGGCTCAGGGCTCAGCGCGTGGTGGGACTAGGTCAGGCTCAAGAGTGTGACTAGGGTCATTACCTCAGTGTTAATGACTAGGGTCAGGGCTCAGGTGTGACGTAGGGGGGTCAGGGCTCAGTGTGACTAGGGTCAGCTCAGATGTGACTAAGGGTTAGGCTCAGTGGCTTAACCAGGGTGCAGGCCTTCTGAGTGTAGGACCCAGGGTCAGGGCTCAGTATATGACCAGGGTCAGGCTCAGATGTTACTAGGTCAGGGCTCAGTATGGATGACCAAAGCAATCCTCCTGCCTCAGCCTTCTGAGTAGTTGGGACTACAGGCATGTGCCACCATGCCCGGCTAATTTTTTTCCTGTGCCAGGAGAGAGTTAAACCTTGTAGGGGCTGCAGGCATGCCCCTCCACCTTGCTGCCCAGGCTGGTGAGTGGCCCGAGGGCTCCAGGGGGCTGGGGCCAGGACACTTCTGGCAGCACAGCATGGCTCCAAGAAGCCCTCCCTCTCCCCCTCAATGGAAGACCTAGCTGCTGCCAGGGACTCTGAGGCAAGGACAGCATCAGAGCCACAAGTGGGGAGAGGTGGCACCACAAGTGCCACCTTCTCCTTGCAGGATCCCTGAGTAGAGATGGGCTGCAAGGCCCGTAGTGATCTGGGTGGATGGGTGCCAGCACCCTGCAGCCCACCCAGTCTCCCCTACAGCAGCGGGTCCCCGGCTCTCCACGCCAGTGTGCCAGCCATGCAGGAGGGCATGGCTGCTGTATTGATGGGAAAACTGAGACCTACAGGTGGAACATGACTTGCCCACAGCCAGTGAGCAGGAGGACTGGCCCTGGAACCCAGAGCCCTGGCTCTTGGGCCAAGTCCCTTTCCCTTTCTCACTGGTATTACTCCCGTGGGGACGCGGCAGGGTGCAGAGGCTCCCTGAAGGCTTGTGGGACAGGAAGGAAGGGGCAGGCACCCCACCTCTTCCTGACCCGGCCCAGTGTCCAGGGCCTCTGGATGCCACAGCTAGGCAGGAGGCGGGCGCTGCATGGCCACGGGCCTCCCTCCACCTCCCACCCCATCCACCTCCAGGCACACCTCTTGCCTTTGCCCAACGCTGTCCCCTCTGCCAGGAATACTCTTCTCCCACCCTTCCTGGAGGGAGGCCACCGCCCATGTGAAGGCTCCCAGCGGCCCCCAGGTTCTGTCTCACTAGGAATGGCATTTGCCCACTGCCATGTGGCTGCGAGCTCGCTGGGAGCAGGGACTGTGATGCTCCGTGTGCCCGCATGGTGCCCAGCACTCGGGAGACGGCAATCGCAAGGAAGTGGGTGGCCGGAGACGGTGCCCGCTTGGCAGTGCGGGTTGTCCCAAGGTGTTAGTGGAGTGTGAGGTGCAGGCTGAGGAGGCCCTGGGCTGGTGGCACGTGGTCCTCTGCCCGTGTGCTGGGCTCGGCCTCACAGCAAACCCCCGCTGAAGGGGTGGTGGCTGCCCCTGCAACGTTTGAAGTGGGAGGATGAAGCCCAAGGATATCCCCGGGCCCAGCCTAGCTGTGGTCAGGCAGCAGGCCATTCGCAGAGCCACAGAGTAGAAAAACCTTGTTTTATTCGTCCCAGAACTGGGCAAACTTGCTCTGCAGTATGGCCAAAATATAAAAAATAAAAACAAACCAACAACCGACAAAACAATGTCGTAGAGAAAAGTTAAGTACAAAATGGGTCTGGCATCCGGAATCCCTGTGGTTTCGGTCCACGTTCGTTCGCTCCCTGAGGCCGGCAGGGACGGATGCCCCTGCCTGTGGGTGGGGCTGGGCCCCTCGGCAGGAGGCCCGTGGAGGCAGGGCTTGCTCTGGGAGGGAGAGATTGGTCGGAGCCTCGAGGAGGTCAGGATCTGCGGGCGGAGAGATAGTGGGTCAGTGGAGGCCCCACGGCCCAGGCCCCACGGCCTCCACTTCCTTCAGGGCTCTGGGCACAGGGCAAGGGGCCGACTGCTCAGCCCCGCTCCAAAGGAGGGTGTCCTGAACTCCCACCGCCCAGAGCACGGTCTCCCAGGTCCCCCACCCGTGCCCTAGCCCAGGCCGTTTTCTAGGCCATCAGCAGAGCTGCTACTGTCTGGAAATACTTTCTTGTTTTTCCTAACGCAATACTTTTTTTAAGCCTCCTTTTTCCTTTCAGAAGCATGATGGAAACCCACAGGCGTCAGTCCCGGCCTCTCTGGGAACGCTCCGGCGACTTCCTGTGCACTGGCCCAGCCACTGCCTGCGGTCGGGGTGGTGGAGACGCTCTCATAAGGCCTGGGCCGTCCAAGCTCTTACGTAAAGAGCGCTCGGAGGGAAGGGCCTGGACGCTGCTGCTGCCCACAGGCCCCGGGAGGAGGCAGGGCTGCTCTCTGCCCGCCCTTTGAGGCCCACACAGCGCCTGGGGCCAGGCGGCTGCTTCCACCCCTTCCCGGGAGCAGGCGGACGGAGGGGATGTGGCCCCCTGCCGCCCCCCCAGTCCCAGCAGCCCACCTCGTTTCCTGCATACCCTGCCTGCCTTCCTCCTCTTCCTTCCCTGGAACTGCCTCGGCCTCCTAGGCGGCCCCTGAATTCCCAAAGGCGGCTGATATCTGCTTCTACTCGCAAGGAACTGAATCTCTGCGCTGAACCAGACGCTGCTGCTCACATTTTTAATACTCGTGCTGCGGTCAGGTTAGTGGTGGCAGAAATGAACCCTGACCCTGGTCATACACTGAGCCCTGGCCCTGATCATATACTGAGCCCTGACCCTGGTCATACACTGAGCCCTGACCCTGGTCATACACTGAGCCCTGACCCTGGTCATACACTGAGCCCTGACCCTGGTCATACACTGAGCCTGACCCTGGTCATACACTGAGCCCTGACCCTGGTCATACACTGAGCCCCGACCCTGGTCATACACTGAGCCTGACCCTTCTCATACACTGAGCCCTGACCCTGGTCATATACTGAGCCCTGACCCTGGTCATATACTGAGCCCTGACCCTAGTCACAATGAGCCCTGACCCTGGTCATACACTGAGTCCTGACCCTGGTCATACACTGAGTCCTGACCCTGGTCATACACTGAGTCCTGACCCTGGTCATATACTGAGCCCTGACCCTGGTCATACACTGAGCCCTGACCCTGGTCATACACTGAGCCCTGACCCTGGTCATATACTGAGCCCTGACCCTGGTCATACACTGAGCCTGACCCTGGTCATACACTGAGCCACTGAGCCCTAACCCTAGTCATACACTGAGTAATGACCCTAGTCACACTCTGAGCCCTGACCCTAGTCACACTGAGCCCTGAGCCCACTCTCAGGCCGTCACACCTGCCACCTGTTAGCAAGCATACACGTGTGGGGAAAGACGTGTCTCTGGACCCTGGGATCTCAGTCACCATTCCAGCTGATGGGCAAAGCTTTTAAGCTCTAGGACCACTCTTTTTTTTTTTTTAATGGAAAAGAATGGCTTTGATCTGATCAAATACTTTAAATTCACATGGAATGGGGTGGGGTTTCTTTGTGAGCTTGTAAGCAGGGAGTCCCTCTGCAAAGTCCCTCACGTGGGGAATCAGGAAAGGGACAGCAGCAGCTGAGGACCCTGCCCAGCAGCCATATGCCAAAGCCTGACCCCAGATTTTATTAACTTCCTCTACAACAGGGACCTAGGGCCTAGTGATGGCTCACCCATTCCAGCCAGAATCACTTCAGATCTGGCACTGTCTATTCCAATCCATTCCGTGCAGTCACTAATGACCACACTGTGTTACTGTGTGCTGGGCTCTTAAACATGCAGACATCAGGTCTACAAATCCTCACCCAAGCCTATGTGGGAAGTGAAAAAAGTAGCTCAGAGAGGTGAGGTGAATTACCTAATGTCACAGACCAAGGAAGCCACAGAACTAGGATTGCAGAGCCCATGAGCTTGCACCAAACTACTCTGCCTTCTCCTGGTTTCCACTTGGGAAATCTTTGGGAGCCCCGCGATCCGGCCACAGATCGACACCCACAGCCTGAGCCCCACCACGAGCACTCAGCTTGGGGTTGGCACAGACGAGGCTCCTCTTGTTGGGCCCAGCCGCAGCTGTTTGGCCACCAGAGCAACCCAAAGTGCAGGTATCTTAGGTATTTCAGGTGGCCTCGCCTGCTCCCCAGGCAAGAAAGGGGTGAGGGCAGGGAGGGTGCTGGGCAGCACTCACTGGACAATTTTGCAGTTGGTTGTAGAGACGTAGCGCCCTGTGTAGTGAATGTTGCACCTCACCACGTTGTTGGTGAAGTCAGACTCCAGAACGATGTACTTCGGGTTCACGTGCACCTGTGGAGGGAGCCCAGACAGAGGGGTCTGGTCAGGGAGACTGCACTTCACTGGGTCACCAGGGCAGGGGGTGGCCAGGCAGACAGACCAGCATACACGGAGGTGACACAGGGAGGGAGACGGGGAGATGGAGAAGGACGATGTGAGGCCAAGAGACGTAGAGACAGGGACACTCCCAGAGAGACACGGACAGGAGAGAAGGGGCAGCTGGCGGTTCAGGAAAACATCATCGGTCCCATTTATCAGAAGATCACAAGCCTCCCTGGAGCCAGAGCCTGTGCCCAGGGGGCCGTGCACGGGGCGTTCGGGGTCAGGGAGGTCGGGTCCCGCCTCAGGTAAGGCAGGAATGAGGGGCCGAGCAGGACTCGCTGCCCAGCCTCCCTGACTCTGAGGCTCACAGCTGCTCACGAGCATCCCTGTCCAGGCGACCCACTGGGGGACTGTCTGATGCCAGACAGCAGTCCCAGCTCTGGAGCCCGAGCTCCGACATTCACCGAGATGGCGGTCCAAGTGTGATCTGTGCTTTCTGCCTGGGAAGGAGCTGTGGGGACGCAGCACTTAAAAGCGTTGGATTAACTGAGGAAGGGGCCAACACTATCTGCAAAATGTCTGAGAGCATGCGATGATGTTACTTTCTAACGCCAGTGCACTCCTGGAAGGCCGGAAGCACGTACTGCTTACGCGGTCTGTGCGCCCAGCGCCTGGAACTCAGGGGGGCCTTCCCACGTGCTCGATGGGTCGCCGTGTGACAGAGGGAAAGAACACACCACACCAGACAACCCCAGGCCCCAGGTGAGGCCCTGCAGAGTTGCACACACAGAGCCTACAAGGAACCCGTCTGGCGTAGGGTGGGCCCAAGCGAGCTGTAGAATGACCCCTCACCGTACCTGCATGGAGGAGGCTGAGGCTTGGCTGTGAGGCCATGATGGCGAGGCCTGCACGGAGGTACCAAGGTGGGCTGTGCCATCACACACTTTTCTACCTGTCCCGTCCCCCCTCCCCGCTCAAGGGAAGGGGCGGAGGAGTGAGTGTACATTGGGGTGGGAGGGGTCCAGGCTAGAAGGGGCTCTTGGTCACAGGAGCCTTGGCTTTGCAGGGGTCCCCAGGAGGAGCTGCGGTCTCTCCCATCTCTCTCCCAGATGGCACGGAGTCTGCCCCGCCTGCCCCGGGGGATGAGCCACGGGGCTCTCCACGTCCTCCTTGCTCTCTGGTCCTCTGTCACTTAGGGAAGATGGTGCACCACCTCCTCTAGCATCACCACAGCTGGGCCGAATGTTCCTTGGGGTCTTTATGGAAAGAGAGGCTATGTCTTCGCCAGACCTAAACCTTCAGATGGAAAGTGGAAACCTCGGGTGCCGCCCCAGCGGCTGCCTCAGCTGGGCCACTGGGGGGAGGGGAACACGCCCAGAGGCTGGAGCTTCTTTTCAGAAGCAGGGGACATGCAGCATGCCCGTCAGTCAGGTCGCAGGACGTGCCCAGACCGGGAGGCTCACCTTGAGGACGTAGTTTCCAGGCTGCACATCTGTTATGTCGATCCACTGGCAGTCGATGTCCGCGTTGTAGGTGTCGTAGCAGCCTGGGCTCAGGCCCTGGGAAAGGGACAGGTGGAGAGCGTGGGGTGCTGCCCACCCTCAGCTGCTCAGGGTGGTCTGCCCCTTCCCAAGGCCACTGGACCAGAGAGAAGACAGAGAGATGTAACAGCCAGGTGGGAGGGATGAAATGAGGGCAGGAGGACGCCAGGGGGAGAAAGACGGAACAATGGACAGAAAGAGACAGACTGGACAGACGGACAGTCTGCAGATGTTGGGTGGACACACAGGCAAATGGGACATCACGCTATCCAGACCTGCTGCCACGTGCCTTTCTCTCCATGAGCAGACACCCCTAGAATGATGCAGGAAGGGGCCTGGGAAGGGAGGGGACAGTCCCTACAGGGCCCTGTGGGGGCCTGAGGACTGGTGAGAAGACCTTCGCTTTGCTCAGAGCTGAGTGGCCACATGCCTTGGCACTAGCCTGCCTCAGCCTTGGCACTAGCCTGTCCTCAGCCTTGGCACCGTTCTCTGCCTCCCCCGGCCCCATCCTCTGGTGCCCTGAGCCCTGCCTCTCCAGCCCCACCTGCGTGTGAGAGGTGCACGCATAGCGCTTGAGGTTGCCGAAGTCACAGGTGCTGTCCTCCAGGCAGAAGCTGGCCTTGTGGCCCTCAGCCACCTTCTTGCCCGTGGCTGCATCCAGCAGGTCATAGTGGCTGAACTCGTCCATGCTGTGGTAATGTCTGGGGGCAGAGGAGGGAGGGAGGAGGGAGAAGAGGGCCTAGTCTCCCCTAGGGCCTCTCACCCTGTCCCTGTCCTGGGATGAGCCCAGGTAACCCTGCTGTGACACAGCCTCCTGACTGGCCTGGGCTCCCCCGTCCCAAGCCCCACAGTGCAGCAGCTCCAGTGCCCCCCACCTAGCCAGGTCACCGAGGAAAGCACCTCCTTAGGACTCCTCGCTTCCCTTTTGGGCTCCTACCTGTACTGGCCTCCCTGGGGCAATGTCCTGTGTTCTAGACATTTCCATCCCTCATAAAAACCAATCCTTCTGCGTCCCCCTCTCCAGCCCAGCTTTGGCTAAAGTTCCTCTGAGCAACTCCTGGTCCAGCACTGGATCCGTGGCAGATATGACCTCCCCGGGTCCCCCCAGCCGCACCTGTGTCCCCAGAGCGCTGCTGGGGGGAGGGGAGCTTAGGCACCAGGCCCCCGGCCGAGCCCCACCCCACTCACTGGTGGCAGCTGTGCCACTCCCAGGTGTGCCGTGGCCGGTTGGGGAGGAAGTCCGCCGTGCCCTGGTTCTTCACGCGCTGGGGGAAGCGCAGCAGCACCCGCACATCGTAGTCGGTGGCTTCGGGGGCGTAGGCTGTGCTGTGGGGACAGGTGGGGAGACCGGATGGGGCTGGGGTCCAGTGACACCGGAACACAGCACGGGCCACATCAGCCCCTGGCTATTGGTCCTCCGGCACCCCCTTTCCCCGAAATTCCTCCCATCTGACCCCACCCTGCACCATGGCAGAGGCTCAGGCCTCTTCCTCTCCCTCCTGACCCCAGGAGTGCCTGGCTGTCTCCTTCCTGGCTGCCACTGCGTGGCTGGCACCGCCAGCAGGGTCTTTCTAAAGTAGCATCAGGCCTGGCAATGGCCCTCGGAAAGTCCCCGATGCCTCAGGCCCCTAGGGGCAGGGACACAGAAAAACCTTTGAAGGGCAATTTAAAAATAGCCCTGTCCAGGGATTCTGGTAAGTCTTCCCCACTCTAGACAGGACCCTACTTGTTGGCAAAGCATGATTGTCTCAGGCGTGGGCCTGAGAAAGGGGGCTGCGTTCCTTCGGTCAGAGCCTCTGCGTGTTCCTGGTCCCATCTGCCCTTCTGACCCCTACCCATCACACACCTGGGTTCCTGATTCAAAGTCTATTTCCCAAACACATGGAACTCTTCCTCTCATCCATGCTTTCGCCCATGCTGTTTGCTTGACCTAGAATTCCAAAGCTCGTCCAGCCTCCTAGACCCAACCCAAGTCCCCTCCTCTAGGAGTCTGCTTTGATTGCCCCACTTAGGGGACTCCTGATGCCTGTGGCTCTACGGCACTGCCTGCAGCACAGCCTGTTACCACCTGCACCCTGCACTGGGTTGGGTGTGACCAGGCCACCTCTCGCTGACTGCATGGCTTCAGGGGCCGGCAACCCGCCTTCTTCCATTCAGGGAGCATGGTCCCCGTGGACTGCTTGCTCGCAGTCCACTGCTGACCGCACATTCCCAACTGAGGCAGGCCTTGCGAGAAGAGAAGGGCAGAAGGAAGGGTGAGGGACAGCAATGAGAGGAGACGCGCGTGCGTGCACACACACACACACACACACAGGCTATAGGAGCAGGGCGGCTGGCTGGAGGTTCCTCCCCTCTTTAGCTGACCGCTGACAGCTGCCCTGGCTGGCCTCAGGGGCACCTCCCTGGAGCTCATTAAAGTCTGAGTCCCAAGGCCAGAGGCGAGCAGTGGCCAGTCATGGGGATTAGTGCTCTCTCTAAGAGTATGTCTGGACAACAGGCGCCTCAGACTCCTGTCTGCCAGGACGTAAGGCACCCAGCCTTGTCTGGGGCAGGCTTGGAATCTGTCTGTGTCTGGGTTGAAACAAAACATTCTCCTTCCCTCTGTTCAGTTAAACCCTGCCTTTCTGTTCGGCTCCGCACACTGTGGGAAACCATCAGGGTCTAGATCCTAGGTCCAGCTTGGCCACAGCTGGCAGCGAGACTTGGAGCAAGTCCCTTCCCTTCTCTGGGTTCCGCCTGTGTGTGGGCCGGCACCGGCCTGCGGGCCATACGCAAGTGATCGGAGGGCCCTCCCGATCCAGGCCTCCAGTTCTGCGGGGTCTCGAGGTCTGCGCTCCTGCGCCCAGCCCCTCGGACGCCTCAGCCCTCGCCCACCTCTCCCTCCTCTGATCTCGCACAGCTCTGGCCTGCGAACCACTCACTCAGGCTCTCGCCCCACTCCTGTGGCTTGGTTCTGTCCCGGGCCCGGGCGAGGGCACTTCCTCCCGCTGGCCCAGGAGCAACTCCAGGACAGAGGCCGGGGCCGCCGCCTCGCCCCATCTGGGGGCTCGGGTCTGGGCACTGCGGACGCTCCACGGAGATGCAGTGATAGTTTGGCTTTTACTAAAATGCTTCAAACTGGACAGGCTGCCAATGAGGCTGTATCACTGGGGGAGTCACAGCAGGGACACTGTGCCCTCTTCTTGTGGACAACTGGGCCGAGGGAAGACCCGCACGCGCAGGCAGCTGCGTGACCAGGGCCGGTTCCCGGCCTGTGGGGAGGTTAGGAGCCTGCGCCAGAATGCAAATCAGCGACGGTGCAGAGCACCCTGCTTGGTCCACTGACGCCTGTTGTTTTAAAAGCAAGCCGTTCCCAGGGAAGGAAGCAGCCAGTTAAGTTACATCGGGGCAAACTCCTTATCTTGTCACAAACTGGTAACAGTCAGTGGCCAGCTTCTCTGCCTGGCAGTGAACCATTAGAACCATTACCAATAGGGGCTCTAGAAATGAGGAAATGCTGACATTCCAAAGGCAGCAAAAAGTAAATAGAGTTCCAATGTAAAAAGAAAACAAAGCAAGTAATTAAGAAAAATGGGTGCTTTCAACACAGACGGGTACAAGCAAAGCAGCAATGCGATCTTTAACTGGCTCTTTTCGCACAGGGACGTATCCCGACACGCAGCACGTGAGCAGAGCTGATAAACGCAGAAGCAAGCTCTGCAGGAGGCGGGAGCTCCACGGACAACGAGCCGGCTGCGCCCACCTTCTGGGTGCACATAAACTGGCCTCCCTGCCCACTCTCCAGTGCCACACAGAACGGGGCCTCTTTGTCACCGTGCCCACTGTGACCAGGCAGAGACAGCCTGGGCCATTCAAAGCCACAGCTGTCCTCTGTGGACATGGCTCCACCTGCGGCCTCTATCCCGAGGGCCTGCTCACCCTCTGGACTTCCCTGTCCTGGTGTGGGCACTCCTGGGCTCCCCCTGAGGGTGCTGCTCACCAGGCAGCTCTGATCTGAGAAGTCTGAGCTCCTTTCGTCGCCCTCCAGCTTCCCTCAGGGCCCGTGTGGAGAGGGAATGCCCGCAGAGGCAATGTCCGTGCACAGGGCTGCGCAGCACACGGAAATGCTGGACGCCTGCTCCTCCCGCCCTCCTGACCGAGTCCAGGCAGGCAGGCCTCGCAGAGCAAGCGGTCGGGGCCTGGGAGGCCTGGGCACATGGCCAGGGTCACCGGCCTGGCTGGCAGGGCACTGGGGCTGGGCAACTCCCAGGGACTGTCCTGACCTCTCTGCTTCCTCCTCAGCCCCTTACCTGGCCAGACACTTCTCCTCCGCGGCACAGCGCAGGGAGTACAAGTGGGCTCTCTGCACGTAGGTGGACGCTTGCACGTAGTTGGGGTCCGGGACCAAGTCGGGGAGACCTGGAGAGGGCAGTCGAGAGAGGGGGTACGGGGGAGGCGCACAACACAGAGAGGGTCAGGCCGGCCACTGCGCATGCCCAGAGACCACTCCCTCCCCAAACACCCACCGCCATTCTCCCTGGGCGCTGGGCCCCGGCTCGGGCGTGGGGTCAGGGAGCCAGGCAGCAGGGGCTCGCTCTGCAGCTCCGCGTGGGGGCGAGCTTGGACGTGAGCACGATCTGGGGACAGGGTGGAATTTAGAGCCAGAGAGCCGGAAAGGGTGTTCTTGGCAGGGGGAACTGCATGAACAAAGGCCTGAAGGCAGGACCGAGTGAACCAAGTAATTTCCTGACAGACACTCCCTCCGTGTCCTTATTCCCCCAGCCTCTGGACACCAGCCCCTAGACGCCCTCTGCTCCTCTCACCGCTGCAGCCAGTGTTCCGCGTGAACCACCACGACAGCCCTGGGCTTCTGGCCCGAAGTGGGCCCCAGAAGCCTTGTGGGCAGAGCCAGGTAGACGCTGGCTGGCAGGAGTCAGGGAGGGCAGGAAGGGATGGGCTAGAAGGAAAACACTTCCCCAGAGTGGGTTGCTGACAAGGCGGGATTCGCAGTCTGGGCGCCAGCCCGACCTGCTCATGATTCCTTTCCTCCTGGCACGGCCCTGCTCCCCCATCACCTGCCACCACTTCCTGCCATCGGCCCCCCAGCCCTGACCACAACCTCCCCACTTGCAACCTCCGGTCGCCAACCTGAGGGAGGCCCTGGCTCCATCCCTTGCAGGCCCCGGGAAGTCTGGAGCCTGCTCCAGCCCATGATCACTAGTTCCCCAGGACATGCCAGAGCCCGGGTCTGTCCACCCTGCTCTGTCCCCTCCGCCTTCCCCACAGGGCAAGCACTAGTTCAGCTAAGAGTTATTAGGAATAAGCAGAAACCAGACTCGGTGTCCAGACCCCATCCTGTGTCGGAATAAAGGAGAAGTGACCTTAATGCTGGGAGTGCGGGGCACGGGCGGGCTGGGAGTGGGCAAGGGGATGCCAGGGCCTGGGCCCTGTCCCAGCTCTGCTGCCCACTTAAAGGGGAATGGGCCTGGGGCCTCTACGCGCCTCTCCTCTCCACCTCTGGGATCTGTCCGGTAAATGATAGAATGAGGCTGTGAGCGCCTCTTAGCTTCTTTCAAGCCCTCTGCTCCTAGAGTGGGGAAGGAGGACAGCAAGCAAGAGGGCTTGAGCGATGGGGTTGAGTCTTGCTGCCAAGACCCTTTCATCAGCTTTCAGGCCCACGAGACGAGGCAGAGAAGGGGAAGTCTGGCTCCTAGGCTTTGACAGAGGCATCGGCCTGTACACCCAACACACCCCCAGGTCCCCAGCCCCTAGCCTTGCTCTCCCTGGGGCCTGGGTCATGGGGGAGCCCGGTCCAGACAGCCAGGGTGACCTCACCTACTGGGAATGAAGCAGCGGCTTGGAGGACGAGGGTGGGTGAGGATGAGGTGGCTCCTGGCTGATGGGGGACTTCTTGGCCAGCCTAGGCCCTATTACTTGAGCCTCCAGGAATGTTTGCAGTCATCTCCCATGGGACTCTTGGCCCTCAAACCCAGCTGGGAGCTGGTTCTCACCCTCTGGTCCCCGGAAGCCTAGGGGCTGGGGGATGAGGACAAGAGGCCTCTCCCTCAGCAGCGTGCAGGGGCGGGGCAGCCGGGCCTGAGGCCTCGAGGGATCAAGCATTGGACACCAGACAGCCTGCCGCCCCCACCCCAGGCCCAGTTTCAACAAATACTGCACAGATGGCTCCACAAAGCTTTTCTGGCCTGACCCTTCCTCTTAGGCCATTTCATGAGCCGGCTATGCAACCCAGGGCCCTGGGAGGAGCCAGCTGAGTAAGAGGCCAGGGGGGGCCAGTGAGCGCTGATGTTGTTCCTGGCGTCCGATTGAGCCTTGACCATGTCATAGACTGAGCCCTGACCCTGGTCACAGACTGAGCCCCGACCCTGGTCACACACTGAGCCCCGACCCTGGTCACACACTGACCCCCGACCCTGGTCACACACTGAGCCCCGACCCTGGTCACACACTGAAATCTCACCCTGGTCACAGACTGACCCCCGACCCTGGTCACAGACTGAGCCCCAACCCCGGTCACACACTGAAATCTGACCCTGGTCACAGACTGACCCCCAACCCTGGTCACAGACTGAGCCCCGACCCTGGTCACACACTGACCCCCGACCCTGGTCACACACTGACCCCCGACCCTGGTCACACACTGACCCCCGACCCTGGTCACACACTGAGCTGAGCCCCGAACCTGGTCACACGCTGACCCCCGACCCTGGTCACAGACTGAGCCCCGACCCTGGCCACACACTGAGCCCCGACCCTGGTCACAGACTGAGCCCCGACCCTGGCCACACACTGAGCCCCGACCCTGGTCACAGACTGAGCCCCGACCCTGGCCACACACTGAGCCCCAACCCTGGTCACAGACTGAAAACTGACCCTGGTCACAGACTGAGCCCCAACCCTGGTCACAGACTGAGCCCCGACCCTGGTCACAGGCTGAGCCCCGAACCTGGTCACACGCTGACCCCCGACCCTGGTCACAGACTGAGCCCCGACCCTGGTCACAGACTGAGCCCCGACCCTGGTCACAGACTGAGCCCCAACCCTGGTCACACACTGAGCCCCAACCCTGGTCACAGACTGAGCCCCGACCCTGGTCACAGACTGAGCCCTGACCCTGGCCACAGACTGAGCCCCGACCCTGGTCACACACTGAGCCCCAACCCTGGTCACAGACTGAAAACTGACCCTGGCCACAGACTGAGCCCCGACCCTGGCCACAGACTGAGCCCCGACCCTGGTCACAGACTGACCCCCGACCCTGGTCACAGACTGAGCCCCGACCCTGGCCACACACTGAGCCCTGACCCTGGCCACACACTGAGCCCCAACCCTGGTCACAGACTGAAAACTGACCCTGGTCACAGACTGAGCCCCGACCCTGGTCACAGACTGAAATCTGACCCTGCTCACAGACTGAGCCCCAACCCCGGTCACACACTGAAATCTCACCCTGGTCACACACTGACCCCCGACCCTGGTCACACACTGACCCCCGACCCTGGTCACACACTGACCCCCGACCCTGGTCACACACTGACCCCCGACCCTGGTCACACACTGACCCCCGACCCTGGTCACACACTGAAATCTCACCCTGGTCACAGACTGACCCCCAACCCTGGTCACACACTGAAATCTCACCCTGGTCACAGACTGAGCTCTGAGCCTGGTCACAGACTAAAGCGTACAGACCGAATCCTGTTAGCTATGAACAATTCTGAATTTCAGCCTCGTTGCTGTGTGTCCTCAGATGATGTGCTAAAGCTTTGTACTTAAAAAAAAAAAAAAAACCTTAAAAAGAAATTGCTTTGACATCCTCAATCCTTTTTGATTGAAACTGAATAGGGCAGGGGTGTTTATGAGCTCCAGGGCTGGGGGGAGGGACATCTGTAGCATACCACATGTGGGGACTCGGAGCCAGACTAAGGACAGACTGCTCGGGGCTACTGGCCACAATCGCAGCCCTGACCCCCATCCTAGACGACCACCGTCGCCCTCTCACTGTTGGGGAATCTCGGCTCAGGCAGGCGCCTCTCGCACTAGGGCGTCTTCCCTGAGTGGCGACGGCACCCCGGGCCTCACATACTCCCCGTCTCAGGCCCGTCTGCACCGATCTGCACCAGAGTCCAGCGCAGCTGCTGGTGTGGCCGCCCTCTGCACTGTGCTCTCTGAGCGCAGGCCCGAGTCCCACCTGAGCCTCAGCAGGGCCAGCCACGGTGCCCAGGGACGTGTGCTTTGGGGATGACAGAGGGCCCCAGTCCCCTCGGCCTCTGTCCAGTGAGCTTCTTTAACGATCAGGGGCTCAGTACATGGCTGTCGAGCACCCACAGCATGCTCCACACCCTGTCCTCCAAGACACCAGGGCACAGGTGCCTTTGGAAGTGCTGGATGAGACTGAGGCTCAGAGAGGGCAGGGGTTTGTCCAGGGTCACACAGTGGGCCAGGGAGGCCCCAGGAGGAGACGCTAGCTCCTGACCTCCTCCCAGGACTCCTCTTATCATTCTTTTTATGAAAGTAAACTTTTGAGCATTTTTAAAGGTATAATCTATATATAGTTGAATGCACAGATTCCAGGTGTACAGTTTAATAAGTTCTAACAAATGTATGAGGCCATGCACCAGTCGGGCTATGGACTGTTTCCATCCCCCCAGCCCCTTCCCAGTAACCCCAGCCCCTCAACCACCCCAGGCAACCACGGATCTGCTTCTCCATCACCAGAGATTAGTTTTGCCTTCTCCATGGGATCACTCTTACCATTATTTTAAGTTTTCTTTGTTCCATATCTCAGGCCATCACTGGGGCCTTCTGTGTCCCCCCAAATTGCCTTCCCCCCTGCCTGGCTGTGCCCCCATACCCTCCTTCCCCTGGGAGGCAGCGGCTTGGGGAAGCCACTGGAAAAGAGCAGCCTCCGGAGTGCAGGCCAGTGCCCCTTGCCCTCGCCCTTGGGATCCCCTGCCGAGGTCCCAAGGAACAGCCAGCCCCTCCATGGCTGGCATGTTTTTTCAGGAAGGAGCAATGCCTCCTTCTCCGGGCTGCTCTCCCAGGGGACATTCCGTCCACAGCCAGGCTTGCGGGCTTGGGATCCCAGCCCCTCCACGGGGCAGGAGGTAGGGGCTGTGTGATGTTGGAAGGGGCAGGAGGAAGGCTTGCCCTCCAGGCAGGGTGGCCAACGTTGGGTACAGTCCAGTAACAACCAGGCGGCGTGATCAGGCCCCCACCCCAAGAAGTGTGCATTTTAAAGAAAGATCCTGGAGAAAGGGCCTTTCTGCCTACTCCAAACGCAGGAGGAGCCGTCAGTCATGGAGACATAATTTCGAGGAGGGCTGGGATCTCTTTTTCCAGCACACATGGAGTCATCCAGCCCTCAGCCCTCGAACTGGAGACTCTAAAAAGCGGGTTCC